ACCAGAAAACGTTTTAAAGTCAGGTGATTGGGAATATTAATCACTTTATTGCTATAAAAAAATATAATCCGTTTCAATTCGTGACGAATTTGCAACAGTGGTAAAGTCCCTCCTGGACAAAAGTATAGGGACATACATCATCAAAAATAATTGAATAAAGTGACAACAAAAATTTTATTGTCCCAATCAAATTACCTTATTAAGTAAAGATCAATCTTCATATCAAATAATACAGTAATTTGAAAATTGACTACAATAGCAAGTTCCAGAAACCTTTGTAGTATAAGTAAAAAAGATGAATCTAGTTATTTGTAGATTTCACAAGTTGCCATGCGTTGAAATCGCCTGTTCCATTAACTGTTAATTACGAGAAACGCTCGTCTCGGAAGTTGTGAACGTCATTTCACCGCAAAAACGTCAGATGTAACAATACACCTTGATGTTCAGAACGTTCAAGGACTAATGAGAATAAATAAATATCAGTTTTAATAAATAACAGAAATATATTCCCAATAATAGGATAAATTGAATGGGTCTCTAATACTAATATCTGGGATCTGGTATGTGATATTGAGGTATGGTAATGTTTTCCATGATTACGTTTCAAATGTTATTTAATTTACCTCATCACTACCATTTTTCAATATTACTATTATCAAGAGCTAGTTGCAACAATTCATCTATTTCTTAAATACTGATTTAATAATGGTGAAAAGTCATCAATAATCAAAATTACTAATAAGCTTATTAAAATATGCATTGACACTTGACGATTAAAAAAAAAAGATTTTAGCAAGGATTGCATTAGACGAAACACTTTTGAAGCAATTTCTTCACTTGAGCACTGCGTTGCGATATGGATAAAGATTTATTTAATATATATATATGTATGTATGTATATACTTGATAGTTAAAATTAAGTTTTATGTCATCGTTACCTATTATTTTCGAGGAAAAAATCTAATTAATTTAATTGCACCAATTTAATTAAAGTTGATTTTTTTTTTACATACCAATTCTTCGGCTGCTGTAGGATGCAATGCAACTGTATTATCAAAATCTGCTTTTGTTGCACCCATTTTAACTGCTACAGCAAATCCTTGTAACTATTTCAAAAAAAATTATAATTATTTAACTTAATGCAAATAATTTAATTTAATGAAATTTATAATAATTATTGGCTTACTATTTCAGCAGAATCTCTTCCTATTAAATGAAGCCCTACAACCTTTTGTTCTTCGCCGACTGTTACCAGTTTATACGCTGTTTTTAGTTCTATTATTTTTTTTTTGTATACATTAGATATATATACTGTATTTATACATTTAATACGAAAAAAAAAGTAATAATAATTTTCACGTGCTTTTTTCAGTCATTGCATAATATAAATTTGTAAATTCCGAAGTATAAACTTTAATATTTTCTTCGCCATATTTCTGTTTTGCTTGTGGTTCAGTCAATCCGACAGTTCCACAAGTACCATGAAATACAATTGTTGGAATATTTTCATAATCAAGTTTTGAATTTTTGAATTGTGAAGGACCAAATAAACGATCTGCCAAACGACGTCCAGCTGCAATTGCAACTAATCAATTAAACAAAATCATCATTGTTATCATTATTACCATTACTACTATCATTAATTAAGTAATATATCTATTTATAATTTATTTTCAATTTTACCAGGAGTTAATTGAGCAACACCACAAACATCTCCAAGTGCATAAACATTTTCAGCATCAGTATTTTGAAATTCATCGACCATAATATATCCATGACTATTCAATTTCACACCAATTTCTTCCAAATTCAAACCGTCACTGTTTGGTCTTCTACCAACTGCGTATAAAACCACGTCAAATTGTTCTTTTTTATCTTGAGTTTCATTCGAGCTAAACTCTACTGTTATTGGATCAGATTCACAGTGACGTGAAAGGCTACAAACTTTTTTGCAACGAAATGAAATAGAAGAGGAAATATTAGATTAACTAATTAAAATTTGTAATATTTTTTATTTACCTTTGGCATTTGTTAAGATTCTTATTCCTTCTTTTTGAAGATCGTTATATAAAACTTTTTTGATAATTGGATCGAAACTACGAAGAATTTCGCCTGAACGGCTGAAAAGAGTTGTTTTTGTCCCCAAGGTATTAAAAATTCCTGCCAATTCGACACCAATATACCTATTATTATTTTTCGACGATAAAGAAAAAAAAAATAGTTACCAGTCATAATAATTTATTATCAATTATCGTTGATTAATATTTACCCAGTACCAATAACAGCTACGGATTTTGGTTGTTCTTTGAGAGCAAAAAAACCATCACTGTCAATTGCGAGTTCATTGCCAGGAATATTTGGAATGATTGGACGACCACCTATGGACGTGGATGTGTTTTGAATGCGAGCAAAAAATATTATTAATTTTTTTAAAAAAAAAAAAAAATATCAAGTATTTATTTACCTGTAGCAATTAAAATGTGATCAGCATGAATAGTTTCGCATTCGCCGTTTTCTTGCTTAACTTTTACGACATTTTTACTAACAAAACTTGCGTGACCCTCGATCAATTCAACATTTGCCTTTTTCATATTATTTTCGTAAATTTTGTTAAGTCGTTTTATGTACTCGTCACGTTTATGTTTTATGGATGGCCAATCAAACTTTGAAATTTCTTTTATATTAAATCCGTAATGAGACGCATCTTCAAGCGTTTCCGAGACACTCGCTTTTTTTAGGAATATATGATATATATAAAATTAAAAACTTTGAGAACTATATAATATGAAAACAAAAAGTTTTTTCTACCTGTGTTAAACATAACTTTCTTTGGTACACATCCTACATTAACACAAGTACCACCAAGTCGACCACTTGATTCGATCAATCCAACTTTAGCACCATACAAACCAACACGTTTTGCTGAAGCTAATCCACCACTACCACCACCAATTACTAAATAATCATAATGTTTATTTTCACGATTTAATGACATATTTTATTTATATAGCAAGCACGCGCTTAATTTAAAAAATTAATTTAAAAAATTATTTGAATTTTTATTTATATATTATTATTTTTTCTTCATTATTAATGAACTAATTTCTAAATTTGTTATCATTATTATAATTCTTAATTAATATATATAATTGGAAAATTTTATTTTGTGAATGATTTGTATCCAGACGATGTTACAATAAATATGTGTTACATGTTTTTGTATCACTCAGCACGCGAATCAGGGTCAATCTCAAATATAGAAAATATACAGCGTAAAAAAATTCCATTTGAACTCTTTGAACTCAAGGCTAGACTACTTTTAGAGCTCTATAAATTAAAAAATCATGTCCATACTTTACGAGATTTCTGTAATGTTTGTCATATACAAAATAATAAAAGCAATAATCATAAATTGATTTATAAATATAAGACATTATGATTATTTGTGAGTATTTGAACTCTAAAGGAAGCAAAAAGTAAATGGTATCAAATGATTATTGTTAAAGGATTTTTTATGATATCAAAAAACTTATGGATCATAAAATGAATGGGGTTGATATAGCCGATTAACTAAGAAGCTGTTATTCAACCCAATTAACAACTAGACATACTTGGGTTCCTTTGTTTCTTTTGGACATTTATAGTTAATTCTTATTTTATTTATAAACGAAGTAACATAATAATTAATAATTTACATCATAAAGCCTTTAGCTTATAGAAGTTATTATGGCATTGATGGAAGAAAAACAAATGGATTTAGGGATGACAACTCGAAATGATCAACAACTTCACTTGCTCCTTTTTCAAAAAAATCATATCATTGAATACTCGAGTTGACAGTTAATAATTAGGGATGGAAAATTGCACGAAATTTCAAAATTTCATGCAGTGCTTTTTTTTAAAAAAAGAAAATCACTTCGGCATTGCTATATACTTTTAAGATTTTTTAATGCATTATTTATTCACAGATAATTCATTTTCATCGTCAATATCACTGTTATCGACATTGTCATCACTACCTATATTTCTAACTTTACTTATCTTTGGGGGTTTCAATTTATTATTAAAATATATATAAACTAATTTAAAACATGATAATTTGTCAATTTATTTCATTTTTTGTATATAATAATAAGAAAATGTAGACCAATTCCTTTCCGCTGCAGCTGATGAGGTAGGAATAGAAAGAACTCTTACCACAACTTTTGTCAATTCAAATGCCACAGCTCCAAAATTACCTTTTCACCAGGTTAATAAATCCACATTATTGGTAGATATCCCCATGAGTTGCCAAATATACCACTACGAGCTTTATATTGTAAAATTTAATTTCTGCATGTTCTGTATGTGATATTGCATGATCTGAAAAAAAATCATGCGCATGGAACATCTCTATTAATAATGCGACAGGTCGTCACACATTTCTTTAGTCAAGGTTGACAAATTAAACTGAACACAAATATTCATCTATAACACTCGGAAAATTATGACTTCACTATATACTAATTTTAATTCATGTTATAATAATTTCTAAAACTATTTCGCTAACAAATCATAATATATTTTAATTAATAAAGATAAAAAGAGCCTATATTATAAAAAAAAATATACATTTTTATTGTTTTGGTACTTTATTGATATTTAATTTTGGAAAGTTTTCTTTGCTAGTCGTCTTAATATTTCTTAAATTTATGTGATTACTATGGTAGTGAATAATAGTAGTCACACGCCTCCAATTCTTTAAAAATACGGTAAAGATCCTCGAACATTCCTGCACAATTTTCTGATGATGGTATGATTGCCTTGTTGGTTAAACCAAACAAATATATACCATCATTATTCCATGTCATTGCGTATATATTTAATTCAAATCCTGTATATAATAAGCCTATGTGAAGATAAAAGTTTCAAATAAGGAAATGAAATTCAAGATATAATATACCATGTAATGTCCAACTATATAAAATTATTGACATTCTTTCTTTTATGTTGATATGGCCTCACCCTTTTAATGGGCTATTTATTGAGTCTCTTAACATAATTGATAATTTTATTTTATCTAATAATCTTTTCTTTCTAGTAGCATTGGGTACACCAAAAGAATTGAGACCACCAGACGCTTCGCCATATAAGACTTCAGCTTTCTGTGGTGTTTACTTGTCATATCTACTTTTCTTCAAATCTTGGCTCTTTTTGAATGAACTATTATTTTTATTTCCTTCATTTGTCGAATGGGTTTGAATTTCCCCCTATAAACAGAACAGAGTTGGCCATGGTACCAAACAACACTTAGTTGTTCTTTTTCGTTTGACTTTTTTTTTGTTATTTGATCGACAAACGCGTACTTGTAGAGTTTGCCTAAACTAAAAATGGGATGATGATGAAACTCGGAAAAAAAGGTTATTATTGTAGAAACTAATAATCCACTTTGTCGAAACTCAAAAACCATGCCGAAACTATAAATAAATACTGAAACTACTACCAGACTTTAATTTTTGTCGAAATTCAACACTATGCATGTGATTTTTTAATGTCAATAATATGTAAACATCTCTTTCAAGGTAAACTAATTACCAGAAATTTTTATTATTATATTTACATTACTATATTCGTATTATTTACATATTATTATTTACATGAATTAAAAATCACTAATCTGCAAAGAAATTTGAATATTCTTATACAGTGCGGATCATCTATACTCAAAAGTCAAAATTTTTAAATATTATGTGATACACGCATTGGATTTTAAAAAACCCGCCACCATTCAATTCAGCTTTAAAAGGGGAGTCTATTAATCTAAAAAAAAATTGTCTCAAATTTCTTTTCATAGATTTTTTAAATTTGAAAGTTATGCTCAATAATTTTCGTGTTACAATATTTTTGAATCTCACGACCAAATTTGGTAATGATTTTCTTTTAATGTAATATGTTCGTTAAACTTTTTTGTTGTAAAGAACTTTTATTTATTAATAAAAAAAAGGAAATAAATAAATCAAACAAATCAAATGTATGTTGTAAAAAATATTCTATGAAAAAAAAGTTGTTACATGAAATTTACTTAGTCTCAATTTCTTAAATGTATAACAAAATTTGGAATTTTCAAAATGCTAAGGCTCTGCCAATTTTCAGTTTAAGAAAAAACCAGCCGATAGGTTTTGAAGCTTGAGTCATGAACAATAAAACTTAACGGTTAAATTTTTTAAAATGATATAATTTTTTTTGTTTTAGTATTTTGAAGTTGACCAATTGTTACTATAAGCATTAATGATTATAGATGATCTGCACCGTAGGAAGCTGGACTTTTTTGATTTTCAGCCAACACTATCAAGTATTCTGACCAGAGATATGCATTTTTTTATCGGTTTATAAAAAATTTACCAAATTAACCACATGTTGTTATAAGTCAAGTCAATAAAATAACTGCAAAAGAATTTTAAAGTAGTATTCAACGATCTTGAAAGAATTCTAAGGTTTATTCTTTATACTTTTTGTGTATACATGAGAGTTAACATGTGAGGACAGTGAGATTTGGGAATTTTCTTATAAACAATTAGCACCAAAATTTATATTAATAATACAAAGATTTAAATTGAAAAGATAAGAATAAATACAAAGTTTAAAAATATTATACATCAAGCTCATCATTTAAAGTTCTTGTTGTCCTAAGTGTCATTAACGTTGTCCCACTAAAATTATTATCAGTAACTTCTTCATTAATCACTTCTATTTTTTTTCCTTCGTATAACTCACCACCATCGGTATCATCATTTTTGATACCATCCATTACTAAATTTGCACACTCAGTAAATGACAATTTCTTCATTGACACAATGGCAATTTTACCTTCATCTATAATATCACTAGAAATTTTTTCCTCGGATTCTGATAATTCAGAAGTGAACTGAACTGATTCTAGACTCTGATTGGATGCAAGATTGCTTCCTGAAATTTCCGACATGCTTCCTTTAGTTGATGTATCAATTCTAGTTGAGTCACTAGGAACATTTTTTCTACCTTTAACCACTTTCACAATTTCTACATCAGCAGTTATAAAATATGATAAACATATGTATAATACAGTTTGTATATTGCCTTCAATAAACGCATGATCCAGATCATTATCTTCATAAAATCCAAGTAATGTATATGATAAGACAATTGTATCAGAAATAATTGCCAAAAACACTCTAATAAAATTCCAATACATGACTGTTGTAAATAAACTTCCTTTTGAGTTTCTTGTATTATTCATCAATATAGAATATTTATTTGCCCTGATCAAAATTTTTACTAATCGGAAAGTGACAAACAAATAAATTGCAAACTCAAATACAAGGGCTCCAATTATTGAAACTTTGTTATGTTCAATATCAGATGAACACCTAAATGATTTATTTCCTACATCATAATTAACATTCGACTCAATTCCAATTATGGGTGGTGCTAACTATTATTTTTTTGTAAAAGTATTCAAGGAAAAAAGAGAATAAATAATAATGATAATTGTCTTATAAATATAAATGATGAAATAAATGATGATTGTATACATACATGAAAGAGAAGTCTACCAACAAATAATATTGATCCTACACATATATCCAATTTTATGTTTTCGATTTGTCTTAACCGCCACAACAAGAATGCAACCAAAGCACTTTTATAAATTACATTTGCTATTGGTAAGAAATAGCTTGCCAATTTACACTCGATGATTGTTACATCAACTGGAACTACTATAAACCATAGTTGTCCTGCATTCCTAAGCAGTCCACCAATATTAAATATGATTTTTAGAATATTTGAGACTTTTGTTTTTCGAACCTTATACAATAAAATTGAAATAACTAGATTGTGGAAATGAACCTAAAATGCACATTATGCAAATAAAATATTAATAAATTAATAAAATTTTTTTAAATAAATAATTCCAACGATATATATATTACCATAGCAGATAGACCAATCAGCCATCCGAAATAGCTTTGCATTAAAAATGGATCAAAGATCATGTTGTTTAAAATATTTCTTTGAAATTAAATGAGAAAGATTTTTATTCACGACTTCAAATACCAATTTCACAAATGTTGGATTTATCAAACTAAAACTCCTCAAAATAAAACCCGAAACCAGGATGGGATTTTTTTTATGGTCAGAAAATTAGAATGAACAAAACAATACAAAGTTCATTAAAAAAATTTTTTTTTGGGGAACTAATTTTGTAATCGAATAATAATGTTGCTTGTGTTGAGCATCACAATAAGTGTACAATTTTGTTTTTTTTTTAATTTAACTTTAAATATAAATATAGAATAATAAATAATAAAAATTAAAATTTACATATTTAATATAATATAATACATTAAACAATATAATTTAGATACTAATACTAATACTAATAACTGCTGTATTGACGACGATACTTTATTATAAAAAATTATTAGTCGAACAAATATTAAGATTGAGTCAAATATCGCTATTCACTGTTGATTTTGTATTTTTGAAAAATAAGGAATGAATCAAATAATTTCTGATATTATATATCATTAAAGTTTGACGAACAATAGTAAAAATTATTGTCATACATAAGAATAATTCATCTAGCTCTTCCTCCCACAACATGCATGCACCACTTTGATAGCGTAAAAAACAAATCCACAAAAAAAAATTTTTCTTACAAATTGTCTCTCTTATTCTCCCTCTCATTATAATACACTGGTAATGTCCTAATGAATTTATTAATACTTCAAAATAGATCTTAAAATTTCGAGTTATATTATTTAAAAATTATATAAGTGTAATTTTAAAGGAAAACTCTAAAGAATAATTCTTGAAAAAAAGAATCAATAATTTAAAACTTCGAAACAAACTTCAAAGATAAACTGACACAGCAATAATGTACGAACCATTTGTGGTGCAAGCTTTTTTTGGGTTGTTCAGTGGTCTTTACACCATGGTAACGTGAATAAAAAAAACTTACAAAAATTAAATTAATTGATGAATAATTTATTTTAATAATGGTTTATTTGAATAGGCGCACCTTCATAATTTGTTTGTTTCGATAACGTTGTATAAATCTCGAACAAATTTGCTGAATATTTTTAAAATTTTATATAATTTCGGAGGATTAATTAAAGCTATATCTCAAATTTGGCAATTAGTAGTACCAAATGATGTGACAGAAGGCCAATGTATTGCATTAACAAGTTTAGTTGTTACAGGAATTTTTATTTACAGAACTGCATTGCAAGGATTTTTATTATGGAGACTAAAGGGCATTGATAATAAAAAAATGGATTTATGGATTGGCTCCACGCTATTTACTGCAAGAGTTGCTTTTAATGTATATATATATATATAAATTTGTTTAGTTATTATATATATATACAGCCTATTAATCTAATTAGTATTTGTTTTTTAAAAAATAGATTGCTCAATTTTTCCAAATAAGACCAACAGTAGTTTATGATGACGAAGAAGATGCCCATTTTTGTAATCAAGGATTAGATCTAGCTAGGACCCAAGTATTAGGATACATATCAATTGATTTATTAATTGAATGTTATGTGACATTTCGTTTTATGCAAATTTTAACCAAGGCAAATGAAACTGCATTACTTCTGGCGGGTGAATCGAGGGAAAAAAAAAGAAGAACTTTGTTTACTGCAATCATCTACTGGAACTTTTTAAGATTATTTCTTGCAATTAGTCAAAGTGCAATGTTCGTAGGTTGGACAATATCTGGAATCTATAGGAGCAACGACAAAGAGTTGGCGATTTATATAAACAATACGCAGATATTACTTCTAATAGGATTGTCATATGCAATAACTATTGATGCGGAGATAGTGAGAGTAATTGAAGGTAGAAGACCATCAATCCTTTCCAAATCATTCAAAGGTGTATCACGATCTTCTAGAAATGCACAGGTTCCTAATAAAAATAACCAATCATTTCAAACATCATCTAGTGAGACTTCAAACAATGCAATAACAGTAGTTGAATCATTTGATAATACTGATGATGATAAAATTATTTTCAAAGAAGAAAATCAAAATCCATCAGTTAATAAAGGATCATCATTTTACGAGTGGGGAAAAGTTGTGACCGATAAAAAATCTACCAAAGAATACGATGGCTTAATAATAAATGAAGATGAAACAAAAGAACCTTCTGTTAATATTACTAGTAACGATGCTATAATTATTCGGGAAGATCAAGGGATAGTAAATGAAGGTGAAACAAAAGAACCTTCTGTCAATATTACTAGTAATGATGCTATAATTAATCGGGAAGATCAAGGGATAGTAAATGAAGGTGAAACAAAAGAACCTTCTGTCAATATTACTAGTAACGATGCTATAATTATTCGGGAAGATCAAGGGATAGTAAATGAAGGTGAAACAAAAGAACCTTCTGTCAATACTACTAATAATGATGCTATAATTATTCGTGAAGATCAAGGGATAGTAAATGAAGGTGAAACAAAAGAACCTTCTGTCAATACTACTAGTAATGATGCTATAATTAATCAAGAGAATAGTGCAATAAATAAAACTAGTGAATCAACTGATATTGTGTAAAGATTTAGATTTAAAACATATTTATTTATTTATTTTATTTATTTTTTACTTTTAATATAATAATTTTGTTTCTATATATTATGTGCATATTTGTATAATAAAAATTTCCAGAATGTATTATTTAAATACAATTAGATAGTTGGACATTTATTCCAAATATGGTACAATCGTAAAAAAAATTCGAATCGTGTAACAACCCGTTTTTTAAAAATATGAATATTTTTTTATATCAAAAATGGTTACTTCAAAGAAAGATTTTCTTTTCAACTTTGCTGTAAATGTCTTGGAAATTGGTGAAAAGATGTAAAATAATTTAAGCTTTCATATGGGTGTTATATTTTTTTTATTTTTTTTTAACGATGAAGTAATATCACGTAATTTTATTTATCGTATATAAGACAATGAAGATACATGAGTTACATAAAAAAAGAAAATGACTGCCCCTATTAAACTAATCACCGTTACATACTAAATCAGGCCTAAAAAAGGTATTAAGATTTAGACACCTAACATTCAAACGTAGATAAAAGCAAATGGTTATTACTAATTATAATAATCTAAAAGGAAACCACCTGATGCAATTGCATATTCTATACCCTCAGAACCATTTGATAAATTGTTTGTATCTCTATTTAGACTACTATAGGAGTTGTTAGTAGGATTTTTATTGTATTTCTTTTTTATTTTTCTTTATTTTTTAGTAATATTTAATGAGATTTCTAATTTAATCATTTCTTCACATCTGGGTTTCCATGATTTTTAAATATATATTGTTCATAATGATAGATGTGATTTGGGTAGTTATTGTTGAGTTTGTGGTATAATTTTGTATTTTGTTGGTAATAAAAGAAGGAACAATACCCTTGATCATGTCAATAAATGTGAGATTGTTCAGGTTGCTATTAACAGACCATATGGTGCTATGTTCTATGAGAATAAGAGAATTATTATTGTTTTTCTTGTTATTCTTGATTTGGTTGTATAGCTCTTCCTTTGTTTCATGACAGATTTTTCGTATGGGTGTTATTAAAGTTTAGAAAAATCATAATACGGTATTATTACCCAAATTAGCAATCCATGTTCCAAATTTAGTACAGTCTACTCTCTCTATAACGACCACTAAGTAAAATTTCTCTATAACGAACTTCCCTTTTGTCCCCGTTTCGATTTTTTATAATTAATTTCTCTCTCTATAACGACCAAAAGCAGAGAAATTACATATAGGGGCAGAGGGTTCGTTATAGAGAGAGTGAACTGTAAATTTGATAGCAAATTCAATAGTGACACGATTTACGTGCGCACATTCCACAATCGGAAAAAAATTATAGTTGCTCTCTATTTCTGGTCCATTTAATAATATCATTAAAAGTATTTATTTTTTATTAAATTTTGTTGAGCGAATATTCCTCCTATATTTTAAGAATAAATGTTATACAGTCGGAACTCGTTAAACCGGTGTGCTTGTTTTGGGCTCAAAACACCTTTTTATCGAATATTCGTTTTATTGAGTAGACATCGATAAAACGAAGTTAATGTATTTTTAAAAAAAAATTCGGTTTAAAGAGTTATATATACAAGAACAATATGTACCACTTGTACTACTGTAAATCATTTATAAAAAATAAAGCGATGCTTCTTTCGATCGATAAACCGTATTATTCGTCTCATCGGGTTATATTTAATATATGTGGAACCATATGCAAACCCCGTTTTAAACATTTAGGTGAAACAATAGGAATATTCGTCTTAAATGAACTAGAAAACTTCGTTATAACAAAAATTCGTTTTATCGAGTCACGTCTTATCGAGTTTCGACTGTAGTTGGATAATCTCTATCCAATTTCTAAGACCAGAGATAATATTCCCACTCTTGTTTAAGTTTTTATTTGTCAATAATTTTCCTAATTCATTTCTATTTATTAGTATCTTCATAAAAATCGCCTAAAAATTCTATTTTCGATTTCCATACAAATCTAATTCTCTGTCAATACAAAAGAATTATTAGATTGATCATAATATTAGTACATCAGACAGTGAAAAAATATTATTGTCTAAAATCATATTGTTTGATGTTTGATGCATTATATGTAAATATTGTTTAATAATTAATAATGAAAATTTTAAATTCGCGGTCATTGATTTAATATTATTGTTACTATTTATTATTCAAGATCGTTACGTATAAACATATGTATATATATTTAGTAGATATTCAACAACATTTCAAAAAAAAATCTTTTGTAACTGTGTTGTTCATTCTAGTTTCAAACCAGATTTTTGCTTTAGTAAAAAAAATTCCATCATAATTAATGGTTTTATTTTTAGTTTGATAAATTCAATATTATTATTGTGAAATTGGTATTTGAAGTCGTAAATAAAAATTCTCCCTATTTCATTTCAAAAAAATATTTTAAGCAACATGATCTTTGACCCATTTTTAATGCAAAGCTATTTCGGATGGCTGATTGGTCTATCTGTTATGGTAATATATATATATAATATATATAGTTGGAATTATTTAAACAAATATTTAAAAATATTTTATTAACATTTTATTTGCATAATGCGTATTTTTGAATTTTAGGTTCATTTCCACAATCTCGTTATTTCAATCTTATTGTATAAGGTTCGAAAAACAAAAGTCTCAAATATTCTAAAAATCATATTTAATAGTGGTGGACTGCTTAGAAATATAGGACAACTATGGTTTATAGTAGTTCCAGTTGATGTAACAATCATCGAGTGTAAATTGGCAAGCTATTTCTTACCAATAGCAAATGTAATTTATAAAAGTGCTTTGGTTGCATTCTTGTTGTGGCGATTAAGACAAATCGAAAGCATAAAATTGGATGTATGGGTAGGATCGATATTGTTTATTGGTAGATTTCTCTTTCATGTATGTATAATATAATCATTTATTTCTTTATATTTATAAAACAGTTATCATTATTATTTATTCTCTTTTTTCCTTGAATACTTTTATAAAAAAATAATAGTTAGCACCACCAATAGTTGGAATTGAGTCTACTGTTAATTATGATGTAGGAAATGAATCATTTAGGTGTTCATCTGATATTGAACATAACAAAGTTTCAATAATTGGAGCCCTTGTATTTGAGTTTGCAATTTATTCTTTTGTCACCTTCCGATTAGTAAAAATTTTGATGAAGGCAAATAAGTATTCTATTTTGATGAATAGTACAAGAAACTCAAAAGGAAGTTTATTTACAACAGTCATGTATTGGAATTTTATTAGAGTGTTTTTGGCAATTATTTCTGATGTAATTGTCTTATCATATACATTACTTGGATTTTACGAAGATAACGATCTGGATCATGCGTTTATTGAAGGCAATATACAAACTGTATTATACATATGTTTATCATATTTTATAACTGCTGATGTAGAAATTGTGAAAGTGGTTGAAAGTAAAAAAAAAGTTCCTAGTGGCTCAGCTAGAAATGATATCTCGACTAAAGGAAGCATGTCTGAGATTTCATTAAGCAATCGTACATCCAACCAGAGTCTAGCATCAGTTCAGTTCGCTTCTAAACATTATGAATTATCAGAAGCCGAGCAAAAAAATTCTGATGATATAGATGAAGGTAAAGTTGCCATTGTGTCGATGAAGAAGTTATCATTTACCGAGTGCGCAAATTTAGTATTAGACGGCCGATCTACCAAAGAAAATAATAAAGATACCGATGATTATAATGAGTTATATGATAATGAAGGAAACAAAATAGACATAGAAGTGATTGACGAAGAAGTTACTGATAATAATTTCGGTGGGACGGCGTTAATGACACCTAGGACAACGAGAACCCCAAATGATTGGGCTTGATAATGTATAATATTTTTAATTTAAATGCTGTATTTATTCTTGTCTTTTTAATTTAAATTATTTATTTATTATTTAATTTGTAAAACAATAATGTTACGCGAATATAAAAATTAGCTAAATGAATAAAATTTAATAAACAAACGAACCAACCATCGTTTAGCAAATATTTTTATAAAAAATTTTATAATCAAATCATAATGAACTAACGCCGACTTTTTTCACAAAATCATTTATGTCGAACAAATATTAAGATTGAGTCAAATATCGCTATTCACTGTTGATTTTGTATTTTTGAAAAATAAGGAATGAATCAAATAATTTCTGATATTATATATCATTAAAGTTTGACGAACAATAGTAAAAATTATTGTCATACATAAGAATAATTCATCTAGCTCTTCCTCCCACAACATGCATGCACCACTTTGATAGCGTAAAAAACAAATCCACAAAAAAAAATTTTTCTTACAAATTGTCTCTCTTATTCTCCCTCTCATTATAATACACTGGTAATGTCCTAATGAATTTATTAATACTTCAAAATAGATCTTAAAATTTCGAGTTATATTATTTAAAAATTATATAAGTGTAATTTTAAAGGAAAACTCTAAAGAATAATTCTTGAAAAAAAGAATCAATAATTTAAAACTTCGAAACAAACTTCAAAGATAAACTGACACAGCAATAATGTACGAACCATTTGTGGTGCAAGCTTTTTTTGGGTTGTTCAGTGGTCTTTACACCATGGTAACGTGAATAAAAAAAACTTACAAAAATTAAATTAATTGATGAATAATTTATTTTAATAATGGTTTATTTGAATAGGCGCACCTTCATAATTTGTTTGTTTCGATAACGTTGTATAAATCTCGAACAAATTTGCTGAATATTTTTAAAATTTTATATAATTTCGGAGGATTAATTAAAGCTATATCTCAAATTTGGCAATTAGTAGTACCAAATGATGTGACAGAAGGCCAATGTATTGCATTAACAAGTTTAGTTGTTACAGGAATTTTTATTTACAGAACTGCATTGCAAGGATTTTTA